ATATATATATATATATATATACATACATACATAGACTTGGGATCATGTGAGACCAAGTCTTTTCCGTAAGACCCGCGAGACCAACTTATATCCGTTAGATTTGATCAACAAGTTGATCAATGGTCTGAAGGCGTCCAATGGCAGTTTTGTAATTATTGTTGAATATGGTGGCGTTTTATGAAGATTGAAAGATCGTATATGTTAGAAGTTTTGAATCTTCATTCACGAAAACACCTTCAGGCGCGAACTGATTCTCCATTGAAGGCTTACCCATAGCAAACTTTTGTTCATCGATTTGAAGGCTAAATTTATGTTGGTAAGTAACAAAACTTTAGGTTTTCTTTTTGTTCTTCTTCTTCGTCTTCTTTTATTTTCTTTTTTGTCAATTTAGTATAACCACTGTGATTTTCAATCTTAATCTCTTTACTAATCGGAAGCGTCTTCAAACTCCAGAGGCAAACTGTGATTATCGAGAAGTGATTCGCCATTGAAGGTTTACCCATAGCGAACTTTGCTCACCGATTGGATGCTAAATTTATGTGGGTAATTAACTAAGATTAGATTTTCTTTTTTAATGAATTGTATTATTTCTTCTTCTTGATGTTCTGTTCAAACCCTAGTTTCATATTCATATTATGAAACTAGTTCAAAGTTTTACATATTCAACCCATAGCAAACTTTTGTTCATCGATTTGAAGGCTAAATTTATGTTGGTAAGTAAAACTAGTTTCACCGATTGTATTATTCCAAGTTCAAACCCTAGTTTTTCATATTCATGTTATGACCATTGTTGACTTGTATGTAGAATATACGAAACTTTTTCATTAGAAACAATAGTAACTAGTTTTTTGTTCTTATGTTCTATTTATTTTTTATTTCTTCAGACATGACAAAAAAGAAAATAGGAAAATGCCATTAACAAAAAAGCTTGTTGCCAAGCTAAGAAGCAACCCAAAGGGAACTTTTACTACAGAAGATGAAAATGAGATGAATATTGAAGGTAACAATTGAATGAACATTTTACATTTGATGTTTTGCCTTATTAATAATTTCTGCTTTGTTTTACTTATCATTTCTGCTTTGTTTTACTTATTAAGACTGACTTTTCTTCTTTTTTTATGCAATTTATCATATACCCAAATATTAATTGATTCCATCTGCATATAGTCTTGGATTGTAGTATAATAATCCACACTATACTGAACAGGGCGACCACAAGATGATGCTACCCAGCCTATACTACGGATCAATCTGATTAGACAATCCATGTTATGATATTTCACTTTCCAGAACTTAAAGCAGATTTTAGCCAGATCAAARCACTCTTTTTGAGTCAGATATTGAGATAGATACCCCTTTGATATCACTAGCTGTACTCATCATTGTTTTACCATAGATTATAGGCATAAAGATACCTTTCACCATCTTTCTAGTGATTGAACTACAAATGAGAACTGAGAGATTACTATCGCATTGAATGTAAAGTGATTTTGCTTGTCCCTTGTACTTGATTACATTGGTTCCATCTTTTCTGAAGTAGCAATAGGATTTYGGTGCTAAAAAGAATCCTTTCGAGATTCTGTCTTCCAGCTTAAACATACCTAAGACAGAAGAAGAAATCACTTCTTCAGGTAGTGGCTGACCTAGCACAACTGAGTCTGTGTCCGTGTAGTAGCTGTCTTCTCTTGAGATATATGGGTACATATAGATCCTTGCATTGGCAGTGATAGCTGCAGCTAGTTGGACAGCTGAGTTCGTTGGTGGGTTCCAATAATCTTCGTCTTTCCCTGTATTGACATGGTAGGATACGATGTAGCAGTCCTCGCTAAGCTTATCACCGTATATAAACTCATCCTTCTTGAACAAATGTTTGTATCTTTTTGAATTGCAGACCTCGGTTGTTGTGCTTTTTGGGTTAATGCCAAATCTACCGTATAGCGAATTCATAAGTATTTTGTACACATAGGACAAAGCCTCATTACCATCTTTCCTAGCTTCCAACCTGCTTGAAAAGAGCGAGCTAACAAAGTCTTTGAATGGGCTTTCCTTCCTCTCAAAGAGGTATCCTGAGATTGGGATCACCTTGTAGCCAATGCCAACAKCATACTTTAACTCCTCGCTATAGTAGACACCGAGAAATTCCCCAGTTGGAAAGATGAGAGTCCCATTCTTGTCTCGATAAGGTAGAAAGGGCTTCTTGATAGTCTTCGGGCATACCACATATGCCTTCATTACAAAGGGATATTTTGTTTTCAATGTCCAACTTGTACAGCTTCCAATATATCTATTGAGCGTTTTGCATTACACCACCTAATAGAAGGATGTCCTGCTTCATATAGTATAACAAGCTTTCTTTCTTACTAGCCAGATTTGACTGGCTCAATTTATCATGTTCGATAGAACCTTTCGCGCCAAGAATAACTTGATTAAGACCGAAACCTATCTAATCGAAAGAATAACCACTAGTAGGGAAAAGAAAGGGCTTTTTCATCARGGTGCGAAGGTTTGGAACCTTATACAAACAAAGAGCGTTTTCTTTCAAATGACAACTGCCTCTTCCTGCTGCTAGGGCCTTGCACGAAACCAAACCGCCCCCCGGTACCTGTTGCTTCGCAGGTAGGCCCACTTAGGCTAGAGGGGCATTGTCCCTCAGTTCTTACCAACCCCCGGTGTGCACACCTTCTACTCAAAAGCCAAATGCTAAAATTATATTTTTAAATACAGAGAATTAAGAAGGCTATACTAAAAACATCATAAAGGAAAGTAATGGTTACTTGAAATCTCAAAGAAAGCAAAGAAATACTCAAAGAAAGTTGCAACATCAAGTAGGAACTCTAAAATCAAAACAACCACTGTTTGTTGCATATTAATATAGACTCGTAACCTTTCCTAGTATAAAAATATTTCCTGCTCTGGATACATGCAGGTTAATTTCAACAGGGACTCGAAAATCTAGTTCTACAAAAAAGATAAGCTTAACTTACTAAAATGGTTGTCTGCAGAATGAGTTGCTTATAGGTTTTACTTGATGCTCCAACATTCTTCAGGTATTTCTTTGTTTTATCTTTCTTATTTGAACCTTCACAACAGGCATGCTGTGAAGGATGTTTGGGCAGATCATGGTTTGCTACACAATAGCCATGTCCATACGTAATTAACTATGACAAGTCCCTTTTTCATTACCTTAAAATGAAAAAAAAAAGGCGGGGAAGGGCGTTGCAGATGTCCCCAGACAGCCAGCCCTCACCAGGCTGCTAGCATTGCTAAATGCTCCGCCACGAAGCAAGCATCTCCCGAATACGACAGATGCGGAAGTAGGGAAGCCGGAAGTGGCTAAAGAAGTCGGAGGAAGAAGTAAACTGTTTTGGCTTTCTTTTCTTGTCTAACAAGTGCTTCTATCTTACATACCATGTCTATAAGTAACTTAGTACTCCTTTCTTCTATCTTACATACCATGTCTATAAGTAACTTAGTACTCTTTTTCTTCAAAGGAATCCTTGATTATGCAGTAGTCCTCACTAAAGTAGGTATGAATTATCATATCTTCATTTATCTTTTATACCTGGATGAACCATCATGAGACCAGCTGCATAAGGCTTATGAACGTTAACGTTCTAGGTATCTAATGGTGGGTGTATCATAGGTAGGAGCCACACATGGTTATTTATATCTTCACAACAGGCATGCTGTGAAGGATGTTTGGGCAGATCATGGTTTGCTACACAATAGGCATACGTAATTAACCATGACAAGTCCCCTTTTCCGTGTGCCCAAAAGCCCGCCTGCCCGCCCGGTTTATGAGCCCATTTCCAATTCCCTTACCCAATCTAATGAGAAGCAAGTCCAGCAGGCCCTACCTTAAAATGTCCCCAGACAGCCAGCTCTCACCAGGCTGCTAGCATTGCTAAATGCTCCGCCACGAAGCAAGCTCTCCCGAATACGACAGATGCGGAAGTGGGGAAGCCGGAAGTGGCTAAAGAAGTCGGAGGAAGAAAGTAGTTGGACAACTGTATACACGAAGGTACATTAGTCTTCTGGGAATTGGCAAATGGGCTCATAAACCAGAGTCAGAAAAGTTGGTTGGCATTCAAGYAAGAGAGAAAGAAGTCCCGATCAGGCTACAAGTGGGACTAGAAGCGAGGGCCGCTATTCCGGTCAGCTTGTTAGAAAGGGAACTAGCACCCTAAAGACAGCTACTCTCGCTTTCTAACAGTAAACTAAACTGCCTTCCGGTCGCCTCACCAACGCCTTCTCTCCCTATCGGTCGAACTTTTCCATCCTCTCC